TATGGAATTCGGATCATGTTACCTGGGCGAAGGAGGCAGTGTAATGTCAGACGACATTTTGGGCCGACTCGTCAAGGCGATAGAGAAGTTGTCTTCAAATGGGGACCAACTTCCAAAGCCAGAGAAACTGACGATATGACGACTATGACCTCTGGGAGGACCGAATGAAGTTGTACCTCGAGTCCGTCAGCGAAGGGAACCGATCACTGGCCATCCTTGGCCAACTGGACAGTGAGGTCTACGCCGTTGCCAGAGCGGCCAACATCACTCCTTCGCTGACTACCGCGACAATCTTCGAGCGTCTTCGGCGAGGGTTCGGTCGCTCTTCCATGCCATGGGTTGCTCGCGCAACACTGAGGGGACGCCGCCAGCATTCTGGAGAGTCCGTGGTCGACTTCCAGCGACACTTACGTGTCCTGGCCAAGCAGGCATACTCAGACGACTCTTTCGCTGCCCTGGAAGACAGGATTCTCCATAACTTCGTCGATAGTGTTGCCAACCCAGACATTCGACGCAAGTTCATGCTGGATCCACCCAAAACCCTCAAAGTGGCACTCGACATCGCCCGCGATGAAGAAGTGGTCTCCGCCGCGCTATCCTCAACCCTTGGACCGGAGGACTCCTTCTGGACGCCACCGCCGCTCCTGCATCGTCTCCGCCGCCCGGATCAAACGAGGCTTGCATCTAAACAAGCCTGTCCTCGCCATAGGAGATCCAGCTGTTCCCGAACTCTCAATATCGTCTTCTGTGGTTTACAAATAATTCTCCCCTTAGGAGCCCGTCTTTCTTTTTTACTGGGGACCAGAAGGGGCATAGCATAGCGTTATTAGCTGTCATCTCGGCTAGGGTCGTTACAGTAACAGTCGGAGATCTGACCAGGGACCCAAACTTGAGTGTTTGAATGCACTAGACTCTTCTTTCGTTTTGCATTGCAGGGTCTACGCTCCGGAAGCCGTGTGCCGACAAATAACTGCTAACCCCACTCGATAAGTCGTTCTATCGTATTCTTTTGTTCTTCCGTAGTCTCGTTTATTAGATTTCCGTTTTAGCATATCCGAATAAACCTATATCTTTTTATCACCTTTGTTGTCTATATTATGTCCCGTACGCCTGCAGGCGTACATTCTGAAGTACAGGGCCTTTAAGACCGAATTTTCCTATCGACTGGACCGTCTGAGTTCAAGCTTCCCTCATCCCTTTCCTTCACTATCCGTGACCTGGCGTCCGCTACTCGCTCGGTCGCTACAGTGACGTAAGTTATGTCGTTCCCGCGAACTAACGAACTACGGCTTACTAACCTCATAAACGGAGAAAGGTAAGGAAGGCCAGCAAGTGAATAAAGTTAATATTCAAAATGTGCAACGATCTGACCGGAGAGCATGCAAGCGGCGCGAAGCTTACAAGCGGCGGAGTCCTCGTCACGTTAAAACAAATGCTACAGTAAAACAAACGTGCCAAGATTGTCAAAGGTCAAGTAGTCAAGTACTTCAGCACAGTACCTCCCTCCGAGACCGGAGGGCGGCGTAAACGACGCCGGTTTGAATTTTGAGGAGCAAGAAGGACATTTTCAATCGAGTTCCTCACTGGAAACAGTTGGTCCGGCATCAGAAATTGGATTCTCAAACGCATTATTGCCTACTACCCTCAACCATGCTGTCATCCTTGCCCTCATCGTGCGACTAGGACACTTTTCTGCAATTGCTGGCAATCTGAGCGTAACCAACACAGCCTACAAATCCTTCATATCGTCTCGAATTGTCCACCGTACCTTGGGAACAGGACCTACTAAAGGCTGAGTCGATAATTTCTACACTGCTTGTTGAGCTGCTTAGCTTTGTACTCCTGGCATATTACCAAAAAGTCATAGTTAAAAAGACCTCCAGGCCTTGCATTCTTGAGATTCTCCGACAAACCCAACCATACACGCAGTTTTCCCTATTTGGCCTTAGGCGACGTCTTTTTCTTCGATCCCTGTGGCCTGCTCTTTTTCCATAACTTCACGGCATGACTGAAGTACGCACTGACGTCCGCAAAATGCGGTCGGGGTGTGGAATTGATCCAGCGATCGCCTCTTGCTTAGTCAAGTGCGCTAACCCCTACGCCACCGCAGCACGTCGGCGAGCAGTATCACATAGTCTACTTGACTGTATGGCCGCAGAAATTGCAGGCCAAAGCTGCAATGGATGCCAGATTTTAGCCGCCAAGGTCAACTATCTTGAGGAAGAAATCACAAAGATAAAAGCTCAGTTGCGATGCAGTCTAGACCAAGCTAACGCTAGTACTTTGCCTACTGGACGAGTAACCAGAAGTAGGGCAAAAGCTCCTAGCATAATAGGCACGCCAACACCTATTACAGCGGCCCCAGAAGGAATAGCTAAAAAGCGAGAAAATAACGACCAGAAAGGCAACCCAAAAACTGAAGAGAAAAAGAAATCCAACTGTAAAATGGCCAAGAAAAACGGACGGCTACTTCCGGAAGATGCCTCTTTAGCGGCCGAAGCAGAGACATTGACAGATGCTCCGCCCCTCATGACAAATGCTGTGTGTTCAAACACCTTTGCTGACTCTCAGAAACAGTCCGAGCTTGATAGACCTAGTACGAGCGGTGGAATCGATTCATCCATCACAGCCACAGATTTCTCTCCGCAGTCTTCTCCGCTAAGTACTTCTTCTAAGATTGTCAACATAATAGTCAAACAAACAGACGGCGTAAGCGCATCTGCTCCACCATCACCAGCGCGTAGTCCCAGAGCGTTACGTCATTTAGGGAACCACAATTCCGTAGAAAATAAAAAAGAGACCGACAGAGAACAATGTCTTATAATTCAGGGGCTCTCTGAATCGAGTGCAATTACTCCCAAGGAGCGAATTTCGGAAGAGCTATCACTCTTCCAAGGTCTTCTCAATAATATTTTGGAACGCACGGAGGCTATTGAAGTTATCAAGGCCTTCCGCCTTGGAAAACGAGCAGATAATCCATCAATGTCGACTCGACCACGGCCTCTTAAAGTTGTGCTGACCAGCAGCGACCAAGCCAGTCTCATTTACTCCAGGCGATTCAGGATTAAAGGCTCCAACCCCGGTGTTTTTTTTTCAACCGGACTACTCGCCAGCCGAACGGCTCAAGCGTCGTCAGCTGGTTCTAGAAGTAAGAAAGAGGCTTAGCGAGGGGGAGAACAATTTAGTAATATACAACAACCAAGTACGGCGGCGGCGTCCGTCACTCTTCCTTTGGACAGGTCCTGTCCGAATGACCGCGCAGCCGACATATTAAGTGAAGGCGCTAACCCAAATGTAACCACAACTTCCGTCAGCCAGAAATTGAAATTCTTGTACACCAACGTGCAGAGTTTGCTATCAAAGTTCGACGAGCTGAAGATCCACCTCTGCGACCTATCCCCTGACGTAATCTCTCTAACAGAAACCTGGTTGGCCCAACACGTGGACGACAGTGAGCTGGCCTTGCCTGGCTACCAGATGTTTAGAAGGGATAGGGAACGGCGTCAGGGAGGAGGCGTACTCACGTATGTAAAAAATGGGCTAAATGTATCAGACAAGACCGATAACTTTTCGTGCAGTTCCGAGGCAATCTGGTTATCTATTAAAGTGCCGAGCTCGCCTAGCCTCCATGTCCTGACAGTTTAACGACCGCCGAGAAGGGACAACATGGCCGACGCTCGCCTGCTGGAGGGGCTCAATAATTTAGCTACGCGGCCGGATATCCTAATCATGGGCGACATTAACGCGCCCCATATTGACTGGAGCTCAACCCATGCAAATAGCTCAGAGCAGACCTTCGATAGGAGTTTTCTGAACATGGCATTGAAGCTATTTCTCACTCAACACGTCATCTTACCAACTAGAGTACGCGAAGGCCAACA